GAGAATCACAAGATAAATTCTCAATAATTTCACAATCAAGATAATAATGATATCTACTTAATAATATGATTTATAAGTTTAGACACCCACACATCTATACTAATCTTTGATTATAGACAGCTGTCTATTGTTTTCTTTTATTTATTTTGTTCAATTGACAATATTTATCCAAAATTCCAAAAAATGGTTGGGCTTTAAAATGGAATAGTGTATGATGCAAGGGGTAAACTTAAAAGTCAGAAAGTATAAGGGTGAAATATAAATTTTGATTTTATCTGGGGTCATAGTATAATTTCTTAACTCCCAAGGTATAACTCATTAACAGTTCTCCGGCTACTTTCTCGCGATATCACTTCATTTCTGGATTTCTAACAAAACGGAAACTCAAAAACCCTAAACCCTACCCCAGTCCTCAGTGTATCAAACTCCTCTTTCCGGCCGTCACCTCCACCGACGTCAGTGATGGCGCTCTGCCACCTCCGCCTGCGCCGCCGCGCCCTCTCTCTCTCTTCGTCGATACTCAACCATCATCTCCACCACTCAAGCCTCATTTCCCCACTCCCTTCGGTCTCTGCTTCGCCTGCTCTGTCCTCCATTGGTTGCACCTCAAGCTCAAACGTTATCCCTCAATTTCCGTCTCAATCGAGGCTCTTTAGAGCGTCGGCGATCTCATTGTCTTCGAGGTCTCGGTCTTTCGACCGGAATCCAGCTGACGAGGAGATCGGCCCCGACACTATCCTCTTTGAAGGATGCGATTACAATCATTGGCTGATTACTATTGATTTCCCCAAGGACCCGGCCCCCACCCGCGAGGAAATGATTGAAACATACATTCAGACTGCCGCTAAAGTTTTCGGAAGGTCATCTATCCCCCACCCCAATCGCAATTTACGTACTCAATGACTTGTTTATGATATAATGTTATTTGCGTGATATTTTATTTATAGACTGACTCATCTATCACCTCATTCCTTAGTACATTTAAGGATTGGTTGCTTTCTATAGAATTGTTGTCTTGTAAACATGAATTAACTAGAAAAATTAGATGGATGGATAGAAGAACTACAATTTATTTGTGTAATTATGTCTGTGGAGTTTTAAGTACATATTTTAAATGTTTGAGGATATTGTGCAAAGCAAGCAAAGTGCAGGGTATTGATATTCAGGGATGAACATTGATAGCTGAATTCTGATATCAAAGAAAATTATATTTTAAGGGATTTATATGATAAATTAACATGGATTATAGTGTAAGTCAATAGTTAAACCATAACATGGATCATTTGCCATCTAATTTTGCTGCCATTCTTTGGATATCCTGTTCTTAACTAATAGAAAGGCGTTTATATACTTAAACTCAGATCTACAAATGTAATGCTCTGAGGTATGTCATATGTGGATATCCAATTCATGGAATGCATTATAAATTGATACTCGACTTTGATATTTTAATAACCTGCTAGGATTATTTTGTATAACTGAATGGTTGCAGTGTGGAGGAGGCTAAACAGAAGATTTATGCATTAAGCACGACAACTTACCAGGGTTTTCAGGTCCTATGTTCAGAGGAAACATCAGAGAAGTTTAGAGGTAGGCAAGTTTTGATTGTCTTTGTGGAAAATGATGAATTTATTTCTGTTTGGATCTGACTTTTTTTGCTTCTATCAGGTCTGCCTGGAGTAGTCTTTATACTACCAGATTCTTATATTGATCCAGTAAACAAAGAGTATGGAGGTAGAAATTATTACTCCTTATTTACTGGCATCTTTTTGTGTTTACTATTATTATGTACAAGAAAAATTGTAGTACTTTGTTGCCTTTATTGGGCTTGCTTACATTTAGCCGACTATTAGGTGACAAGTATATGAATGGAGTGATTATTGAGAGACCTCCACCCGTACAGTATGGGAGACAAGGACGTCGAAATCAGAGGAGTAATCAACCATATCAACAAGGCAACTCAGGATATGATGGCCAGAGATCGAGGAATTTTGGTCCACCACAGGGTCCACCTCAACAGAACATCACACCACAGGGTCCTCCCCCTCAACAGAACCAAGGGCCACTGCAAGGCCATTCACCTCAACAGTACTACAGCCAACCACAGGGTCCTCGACCTCAACAGACATATGGTCAACAACACTTCCCTCAGCAGAATTACGGTCACCAGCAAAATCCTCTGCCTCGGCAGAACATTGGCCCAGAGCACAGTCAGCCTCAGCAGACCTATGGCTCACCTCAGACTCCACCTTCCCAACAGAGTTATGGTTCCCAACAGAACTATGGTGCACCAGGAAGTCAAAGAGGTTCTATGCCAGTGCGCAATGGCCCTGGTGGATTGGATAACTATCAGGGCAGAACTCAAGATCAGGTTCTTTCTCAAACTGATCAAAGTGGTTATGCACCTAGGGAGCAGAGGGCCTTCCAAGGAGGGAATCAAAACTATGGCCAAACCCAAGGTGGACATTTTGGACAAGGACCAACTGGAAGCCAGTGGCGTGGAACTGGACCTTCCTCTGGGCAGAACTACCCAAATTACGGAGATCAGCAATTCCCGCCCTCGGAACAGAGGAACGTTCAAGGGGATGAAAGGTACCAAGCACCCATGTGGAGGGCAGGAACTGACCAAGTATGATGTCTTTCCTTTCATATCTTTATATTTGTTTCATTCTAAATTCTTTTCTTGAAGTCAAGGATAAAAGCATTAAGTGTCCAGTTAAAAGATCAAAGTCACCCTTTCCTCACCCAAGTGAAATGTGATATTTTAGAGTAAATATCTTAGTTTGCTTTTCAACCTTTGAAATTCTAACTTCTGATGTCTGGATGATGTGCAGTCAACTTTTGCCAAATTAGGAAGAATGCATGATAGATTGATAATGATGCATAACTACCAACTGAAGGACTTAGTGATAGAGTCATTAGCTAGTTTAATAACAATTATGTGGACCTTCTAGTTTGAAGGTTCAAGTTATCTTTGTCCATTTACTCCATTCCACGTTTGATGTTGATAGATTCTTTCTTTTACAATCTTGCTTTACTGTTATAGGAACTAGATTATTACTCTTGTTTCAGAACTCATATCTATAAACTCACTTTTATTACAAACTAGGATTGGCAATACGCCAAGTAATGAGCAACAGAAATGCAAATTTTCTTTGCTAGTTCATTGTCTTGTTTTCTAACAAATTTTGCATTCAAATTTGCAGGGAAGAAATTAAAGATTTTCCAAGAATTCAAACCTTATGATTGCAAAATGAAATTTTTAAGTGTTTAAGATGGTATATCTGTTATAGCCTGTTTAAAGGAGCCCGATGGATGCAGCATCTTGATGAGAGTTATGTAAAATCATGGCAATGCTTCCATTATCATTTTGGTGGAGTTTTAGATGGAATAGCGGTGTTCTCAAGAATAATGCCTATTAGTTCTATGGATTTTTCTAAGTCTTGAGCTTGTGAATTATAGACATTCTTAACTATAGTAAGCAATTATAGACTAGTAGAATTTTGCTTCCAAACGACTTCTTGACTGGTATTAATTAAATGTCCATAAATAGAAGTGTACTAAGTTGAATATTTTGTTATAATTGTTAGAAATGTACGAAGTAGTAGATTAATGGTTATAATTGCTAGAAATCGAATCTTATAATAATGTTGACTGTTGAAGTGTTGAGTCAAAATGGCCTTTTGAATTTTGAACGGCGTTATTTAAATGATATAGCTAATAATAGATAGAGCGGCCAGTACAATTATTCCAACACTATGAATTTGATGGATCCACTCCAGCAGGCATTGGGCATTGCACAGGACTGGTCCCTGTGAATGGATGCCTTGTTGAAGCAAGCATCTGAAAAGAATGCTCCAAATGAGTAGTACACAAGTGCTAGCCATGTCGGCAAATTATAACATGGACCAGGGTCTACCTTGCATTGTAGACCCTGATCCAAAAATAACCTTCATATTCTATATCTATAGTTGACACATTTTGTACTCGCAGTAAGTACAAAATGTGTTAATTGAATGTACAAAATTTTTGAATTAGGATTTCATAATGCAATATGAACCCTGGTCCATAGTATAACAATTGAGTCATGTAGACATATATAAGTTTGAACTTCAAATTTAAGGGCTATCATGTCTATGTCCTTGGGTTTTGTGAGAGGAGATAAATTACGGAATTTGTCTTAGTGACGTGAGAATTGAATGTTTTGTTTTTTTTTTTTCTAAGGCTTATTTCTTTCGGGATGAATCCGAGTATTTGTTGGATGCTATACTCACATTCAACTTTTTGACCACTGAACTATGTTCGGGTGCCATGTGTGCATATATGATATGTTGTTTGGTGGAGGTGGGGATGGGAGGAGATGCCAGGCCACACACGCACAACACAGAAAGAGGTTAGTGATATGACACAAAGATCTTTGACAGACAAATACTGATTAGGGATGTGAATCAGATCAGGTGAGGGACGAAAGAAATGGCAAGTGGTGAGGGGTCCCCAACCTATAGCTGGCCCTCCCCATACAAATTGTGGTTGTTGCTCATCAAACTGCCCACTTCTCCTCATCTTACTGCCCATCTCTTCTAAATTTATCAACTTAATTGCACCCATTATTTTTCACCACCTAGAATCATATTTTACATTTTTATCATTATTTTGTTTTAATGTATAGTGTTTATGTATTTGCATACCACATCTAATATTTCTATTATTGTAAGACTAATTCAAATTCAACTCAAATGACGGTTATAGGATTTGACTCCTAGTCCTTATTGATTTTTTTAGTTTGAGTTTGTTAGTTATCTTAAGTTAATTTACATCGTGATCTTTTATTGACTAGGATCACAATGTAAAGTTTACTCATTGCACACTTCGAACAGTGATTACCGATTTTTTCGTCATAAAAAAATAAATCCATATATATATATATATATATATATAATCTTGATGAAAACAATCCTGACATAATGAGAGAAAGAACAACAGACCTCTCCAAAAAAATGTTACCAGCTCCAAGAATAGGTGTAACATTTAGGGCAAAAAAAGTTGCAAAACAGAAAACATTTGAGAGAGAAAGTGCAATCAAGGGAAACCCAGAAATGGAGTCTACTATAAGAATGAGCTGTAAGAAATCTGTCATATACTCATACAACACCAGCCCACTTGCAGAGTGAGAATGGGGAGCCAAGCCAAGCCAAGCCAGCTACTCTCACCTTACACTATCACATTGATTGCGACACTTCAATCCTCTTTTACGCAATAAATAATTAGAGACAGTAAATAGTGAGCTGTAATTGCAGAGGAAATCCCTCCATTAACTCCACTGAGCTGTTTCTCTCTTTATTCTATTGGGAAAAAAAAAGGGAAAACACAGTACGGGGATTTCGCAGATATCAAAGAATTTCAGGGGTCAGATCGTGAAAAACATAAATTTCCAAAAACATATCGGTTTGGTCCCGTCAACAGTTTCTATGTCAACGAGGAAGAGTCGACACTGAGAAGAGCAGAGCAGAAGAACCGGGGAGGAAGAGAGCCCTTTGAGCTTTTAGATTTTGCGGAATTTTCAATTTTTTTTAATTGGGTTCACATTGCTGAGATCGCAATCAGGGGAAGATTTACATTTTTGATCGAAGCCAATTCTCTGCGATTTGTTTAGGTATTTTAGTTATTCATTCCCCTATTTTTTTTATTTCAATTAATTCGCCTGGGAAATGTGGCTGAAATCAAGGAAAAAGGGTTGATGAAAATGTTGAATCTTTGGGGTTTGGGTGATTATTTGGAAACCGCGAAGGGGAATGTCAAATTTTCGTTTTTGGAAATGGTTTAAGTTTGGGTGTTAGATTGGAGATTTGAGTAAATGGTTCTTGTTCTTGAATATGCATACTAGTTTGAAATAATCAACAACTTTAGTGGATTAGGAGTTTGCGAGAAGGAGCTGAAATCTTAGAGGAACTTGTGTTTAAGCAGTAATGAGCTTATAAATAATGGGTTTTTTAATGAACTTAGCAGCTAGTACTTGCTATGAACATGATTCATTTCTACATGTATTGATTTCGTTTATGAAGCTGATAGAGTTTTGATCTTGATGCTCAGTGTAAGAGTTTACCTGTGTATGTTTATATATTTTCTAAGGTTATTCTTGCCTTAATTTTGATGGTGGCAATGCTTTATTTTATTTTATTGTTTATTGCTCTTTATTCTGGATTGCCAGATCTCAAATCGAGCTCTTTTGATGAATGAGGACTATGTTTTAACAAAAATAATGTTCTGATTTTGATACTTAGTAAGATTGAAGGAAGTGGCTGAAATGTTTTGTGTTTATGCTGGACCGCCTGGTGTTTAAATAAGTTCGATTGTGGGGATAGTCTTTAATTGCACAGTGCTATTCATTTTCGTCGACTTGTGATAACACATTACTTGTTTTTGTTTTTTGTTATTTCTATGTGATTCTGTAGATTTTCGTTTCTCATTTTATGTTGTTCTGTTACAGGAATTGTTTGTGTTTATATGGCAAACTCTAAGGGGCCATCTAGTGTCAGAAATGTGATGTACAATGGGAAGAACTCTTTACTGCCTCCTAAAAGTCCATTTCCGAGCATATCCCCATCGTACATTGATTATGTCCCGACTATCACACAAAAGGGTGTTTCAAAGCCGAGGGAATTAAATTCGCACCATATGCGTACTTCGTCTGAGAGCTTTTTGATAGAGGAGCAGCCGTCTTGGCTCGATGATCTTCTTAATGAGCCAGACACTCCCGTGCGTAGAGGAGCTCATCGGCGTTCGTCTAGTGACTCGTTTGCGTATTTGGATGCCGCTAATGTTTCAAACATGGATTACTTAGTTCAAGATGATAGCAAGTTTAGAAACGTACTGCCTAACCCTTCTTGGGGAACCCAAGAATTTGATCTCCATAGAGATGCTCGGCATGCTGCTTTTTATGCAGATTCTATTGCTTCGAGCAAACACAAGAATCGGGCAGCATCTCCCAACATAATCGCTCACCCACGTGGCATTCCTTCTCCAAGAGAAAATTTTGTTGTTCAATGTCCCCTGCAAGAAGCTGACAGGGCCCCGTCCCCAACAATTGAGAAGCAGGATCAAGTTGAATCTGGCCTGCTCGATTCAAAAAGCTCTGCGGAAAAAAAGGATTCTCCTCATGCCAAAAATTCTTCCTCGGAAACAGATACAAAACGTGCAAAGCAGTATGTCTAATTCTTCTAAGCAAACCCCCAATCCCCTTGCCAAGTTTCATCACAAGAAATCCCAAAGAAACTTATGGCATGTTTGGTTCGCGGAATAGGCCTGGAATGGAATAGCATTCCCAGTAATAGGCCTATTCCTTTGTTTGGTAGAAACTTTTATTCCCAGGAACATTGGAATAGCCTATTCCCCTTGCAAGGGGAATAGAGATTCTTGGCCCCCCTAGGTATTAGGCTATTCCTGAGTTCTCATACAGTTGGAAATAACTGGAATAACATTCCCAGTAATAGACCTATTCCTTTGTTTGGTAGAAACTTCTATTGGGAATGGCCTATTCCCCTTGCAAGGGGAATAGAGATTCCTGACCCCCCTAGGTATTAGGCTATTCCTGAGTTCTCATACAGTTCTTCACTTTATCGCTATATCTATTTCTGTGCTTCATAGTGCATGACTAAAACCATTGCATTACTTAGACGAGTCTTCTTGCCTTGCAATAATGTTACCTCATGGTGTTCTTCCAGGAAAAAAGAAACTAGAATAGAGTGAATGTTTAAGACTCGAAAGCTACTTTGCATCTCAATTAACTTTAGAAATGCTATGTTCTCCAGGCAATTTGCTCAACGTTCACGAGTTCGGAAGCTTCAATACATAGCTGAGCTGGAAAGAAATGTCCAAGCTCTACAGGCATGTACTCTCATCAGCTATAGAAGATACAGTTTATGCGAATGGTTTATTATTATCATCTTCTTTTTACTGTTTGGTTAAGTTATTTCAGATTGTTGATGCCACTCTTTTCTCCGATTACAGGCTGAAGGTTCTGAAGTTTCTGCTGAGCTCGAATTCCTTAACCAGCAAAATCTTATTTTAAACATGGAGAATAAAGCTCTAAAGCAGCGTCTAGAAAGTTTAGCTCAAGAACAGCTAATAAAGTATTGTAAGTTACTTCTAGTTTCTTCGTCTTTTGTTGTATTTGATAACTTGGGTACACGATGCTTCTTATACAAAACTGGGTCGGTCATCCTGAAGCTTTATGATGTTTTGTTGAGCTTATATCTAAATACGGAGTATCTAATACAGTTTCCGATGCCTGTTCTATTTGTATCACATTTTAATTCTACTTTTTAACCTCTTGGAAAAGTAGCTGTAAGATTGGTGCTTACCCAACTGTTAAGAGTCCCACATCTATAAAATAAGAGAGAACATAAGGGTTTATAAGGTCATGGGTTAGACTAGCTAATTGGTTGAATTTAATCTTTTAGTGTGGTTTGGCCCATGTACATTATAGCCCAGTTGAGTGACCATAACACCAACATTAAGCTTGCTGTTTTCTCGGGGAAGAATATTATTAGCGGAGTACTTTGTCTTTCATACATTATGTATCTAATGTCAAGTGTTGGTCATTATTGTTATGTCATCAGAAAATGAAGAAAGTTGTTGGAAACGCGTAAAGTTTGTAGCTTTTATCTATCTCGACTCGCAAAGATAATAACTTTGGTGTAAATGGCATATGCAGTTGAGCAAGAAGTATTAGAGCGAGAAAGAGGGCGACTTCGGGCCTTGTACCAGCAGCAGAAAACACAAGCAAATCAACAACCGCCATCTTCTGGGCATCGACGCGCCAAAAGTAGAGATCTCGACCAACAATTTGCAAACCTGTCGTTGAAAAACAAGGAAGCTGGCTCTGACCACGAACCCATCTCGGGCCAACTGCAAATTTGACCATTCTTTAGCTAGAACCTCCATAACATCCTCTGACCGTTCCTCATTGCGTGCGATATGATTAGCTCCCCAAATCCTGTGCTTCTCAGACTGCTTTGCCTTTGCTACTAGCTTCACATAGAAACTCTAATTTCGGTTGTTGTTGTATCGTTTAAAACCTTTTTCTTTGTCAACGATGCTAGTAATCTTTTTTCATGTGCACCTGGCAGTTGCTTGCCTGAGGTGATTGGTTTCAAGCATGATTCTTCCTTCCACTTTGTGTATGTTCAAGCTGTGATTAAAAACCCTTGTGTACTTCTGCTTATTGTAATGCCATATTTTTAGAAACAGAATCTCTTTAAATCAATTGCAGCAAAGATTCTCTGCTTAACATAACTCTAACCAGTTAGTGATCTTCTGTCTCTACAAATCCTTAAAATCACCCAGAAACATATCAAGATTCAAGAATCTTTTTTAATGTTTCAAACCACAAATGTTACTAAAAATAACAGGAACAAGAATTGCAGCAGGCAAGAATGTGGAGGTGCAGAATTTGGGAGCCTTGGATAATCATCAGGCTGTGGCAACACACATTCTTCGCCATTAAACGAAATCCTTCTGGGAAAAGCCCATCCTTCCCTGAAAGTGAAGGTCGCGGGATCTTTGTTCATCAACAGCTCGGTCTGCACATTCCCACCCTCGCCCGCTTGGAGCAACACGTCGTTGTAATACTGAATCCCGTAAAACATCCCGGTGTCATCTGCAGCAAAACCAGTCATATAAATTTCTGATACCAAATTGAAGCATGTGCTCCATCTCAACTAAAAGCCTAAGCTGATAGTTGGATTGCACTTTAATGGCTATATGCTCAACAATATAGACAGACAGCCCGTTTGATTTGATATGATCTTATAACAATGTAGGGAAATATAATCCGGCTTACTTATATCGCCATACTGGTTGAGAGTCCTGTAGTTGAAGCTGAAAACCCGTGTAACGTTCCCCAGATTCGGGTGAAGAACCACGAGGTTCCACTGGCTGAAGTTCTTGGCGAAATTGTAGTTTGTGATCGTGATCTTCACCCTCCAGTGCTGTGTGTAACTCAGCTTGACGTGCCAGTGGACCCTTATCGGGCACATGTGTTGGGTGCACTGCACAATCGCCTGTGGTGGCTCGTAATGCTGCAGCTGAACCACCGGGGGCTGCTCGCCCGCCCTGCACCCGCCCCAAAAGACCACATAAATACATAATACACACAGGCAAAACCGACAAAAAACATAAGAAAAGGAACAAACAAATGTGGTCTGAATGTCTGAGAGATGACAGATGGTTTACTTCAAGCATTTCGCTGATCCGGGCTGCCCTTCACATCCACATGTACAGATCGGACATGACACAATGGTTTTGTTGTAAAATGTAGACAAGGAAACACAACATGTCGGGGAGGATTGGGCGCGAAACTGGGAGTAAGAACATGTTATGTTCCATGTTCCTGCCATTATACATACAAGATTTATGCACCTAGTTAAGAGTCTGGCATTGAAAATATAAGAGAGAATATATGGGTTTATAAGGCCATAAGTCAGACTGGCTAATTGATTGGATTCAATCTTTCAGTGTGATATAGCCATATGCCTTACCAACAGCCTGAGTCGTTCGACGCCCATGATCCTCAACAAACTTGGTGGGGGGCACCTCAAACGCCTCCCCACACGTGTAGCCCGGGACTCCCAGAGTGAAGTTCCCGGGAATGGGAGGAGCAGCAACAGCAGCACCACTGGAACTTTTGCTGGAAACGCGCCCGATGCTCATCTGGAAGGCAGCCAAGTATTTCTCGGGATCTTGAGTCATGGATGACAGGACCCCTCCCTTGCAACAATTCAAGAACTGCTTGTTGAACCGGGTTCCTGGCAGAAGGTCTATAATAACAGGCTCCTTCTCACAGCAATGGGGCCTTTGCCCAGACTTGAATGCAGAACAGTTCCCTTGTTCTGTGGCCTCAGCTCCCCACATATCCCAAATCACTCCATCGCCTCGCCATTGCCAGCTCAGCTTCCAACCGGGATGATCTATGTGGCGGTATAGCTGGTAGTTATAAATTGACACTGTAACCTACAAACCAAAACATAAAAGTTTGTTTACTTGTACATTTCTAGAACTTGATCAGAGAATTGAAGTAAACTCAGCTACAGAATCTCTTACAAAGTTGCAGTAAAACTCCAACATTTAGCCTTGATTTGAGAAAGCACAAAACAGATGAAAGAAACATAGAATTGCAATTCATGTAGACAAAACCATACTGACTTGGGACAACCCCAGCCAAGTTGGTTAGACTGCTGGTGATTTGGTAACCACAAGGTTACAAGTTCGACTCCGAGCAGTAACGGCCTATTGGCCTTCTTGAGCCGATCAACTATAGACGAACTAGGCTGGTTTATCACCTTATAGTCTTTTGTCGGCTAAGGTCACAAGATTACAAGTTCGACCCCTAGGGCCTATTGGCCTTCTTGACCTAATCAACTATGAGCAACCTAGGTTGCTTTACCTCATTTGCCAATTAGGGTCACAAGGTTATAAGTTCGACTCCTAGAACTATAGGCAACCTAGACTGGTTTACATTCTTGTGGTCCGGTTAGGACTATAAGGCGGGATTTACCAAGTGCACACCGTCTAACGGTTTCTCTCGTCACTTGAAAAAAAAAAAAAAAGAAAAAAGAAAAACCTTACAACTTGGTTAGCATCATTGCCTTCAATGATGTCCCATTTGATGGTGATGTGCCCGTTGGGATCTAGAGGGTCGTATCCATCTCCATTGCCACTGAAATTCACCATCACAAATAACCATCAACATTAAACCGATTTAAACGATGCAATAATAATAACATTTTCAAAATTTACTTACAGTAAACAAATGAGAGACAACAGTAAAATCAGGAAGGAACCACCCCCTCTTGAGCTTCCATGGATTAAGAAAAATGGGTTTAAACCCATTAATCCAACAACTCAAATTCTTGAGCTTTTGGGCTTTAGAGAACTGACAAAACACAATGGCATAAACTCTTTCTCATAAGATGCATACAAGAATTAAGAAAAGGATTAAGAAAGAGATCGAAGAGATCAGAAGTATAATAGTATGTAATATATTGAAAATGAGTAGGAGTGCATGTAATTAAGGGAAGTTTATGTCTGATTCTCCTAGCTTAAGAGTCTAATTAATGGGTGGATAGAGGGGTTTAAGGAAAAAAAAAGATTGTTTTATTTAGATTAACAGAAATATAGAGTTTGAAGGGGACTTTCATGCACTTGGATCCTAACTATATGGCAGTTTAGATTAACTGAAATATAGAGTTTGAAGAGGACTTAGTTAATTGCAGTTATAAACTTGACTCCAAACAAAAAAGAATTGAAAGAAATTCTCAAAAAAAAAAACTTGTTATATTTAGATTAACTAAAATATAAAGTTTGGCCAATGATCTTGTGGTCTAGTGGCACGAAGTGATTCTCCCAAATGAGATATCATGGGTTTGAGCCTCAGTGGGACGGTATTGACTCTTTGTGTTTCAATAACTTGAGAAATTAAGTAGCTTAAAAAATTACGCTAGAGTAAGCACCAGATCTCTTGTGTACACCGCTCACGATTAAAAAAACATGTATTTAATTAGATCTGATCTGTACTCCATGACATTTTGAATTAACTGAAATATAGACTTTGAAGGGAACATACATAGTTAGTATAAAGTCATATGATACCATTCCATTTAAACCAAATAAATTATAACTTAATATGATAAGTCAAATTTTGAGCATTATTATGTATCAAGACAAATAAGGTCAAACCCATCGATCCCTCTGAATTTTCTCTAATTTAGCCATCCGATTGGAGTGTATGTGTCAATGAAGTTGGTTAAAACAAGTTAGAAAGTCATTTTTCCTTTGCCCAAACTTACTAAACTACATTGCTATATGATTTAAGGATGTTTAGCTAAATCAAGGAAACCAACAATATGGCCTAATAAGCTACCTCATATATATCTAGCTTGGACCATATATATACAGTTTTGTTACTGAATGGCTTGTTTGGTTATTTGTATTACTAGATCAAACATAAAATGAGTTTGTTTCATCCAGAACACACATTCAGGTCGCAACAGGTTTTCTGTAAATCGATCAAATATCAAACACATGCAACGAAACATGTATATATAGCTTTCATGTTGCATTGCATGCGTGTGCGGAGCAGATTGGGACTTTAATCTTAATTGCAATGCTTGAATTGAACTCGGCTTAACTCAATTCTTGTGTCATGCATAGATCAGCTTGAATCCTCTTTAATTTGTGAAATGAATGAATATAATGGCTTTATTTTAGTTTGTCATCAAACTATAGTAATTTTTCTTGTTAAGCAGGCTATATCAATCATAATCTTTGCCAGATTGCTCAAGCAAAAGGCCTGCTTAATTCTTGTCAGCCAGCTAGGGTTTGTTGCTATGGCCATCTTCTGGTGATCTTTATTTCTTAGTACTGTCGTAACGGCATGTCTTTTATCAGTTTTATGTAAGTGGACGACAGACAAAAGAAGAAAAAGGCAGACATCAAAGTATGGGAGTTTGATTCTTGTAATAAAAGATAGCATGAATTGAAGAAGCAAGAATGAAATAGGTAGCAGACAATCACGTAAACAGCATGCATGCATGCATGGGGAACAACATGTTACATATATGTTTACCTTAGCTTGTACTGTTGTACACGTCTTAGCTTGCCTTCCCACTTTCTGTTTGTTGGCTAGCTTCAATTCGATCTTTATCTTTAGTGTAATTCCACATCATAATATTATGAGAAATCAATTACCATATTTTGTATAACATGACTTGCATGCATTCTTTGAGCTTATTCTTGCAAGAGCTATAATAATCTGATTAGCGTGCATAACGTATTTGTATGATTGTTATATTTTTTTTTTTCCTCGACGAGGGAAACCCGTAATCACTACCTGAAGGTGTGCACAGAGTAAAACTAGTTCAATAGTTTTTCTGATTAATCATATGTCCTCTGCAACCAAAAGCCTAATCTATTAATGCAGATGGTGGAAGGAATCGCAAACACTGATAGAGATGGGGACGGAATCACAGATGGCGAAGGAATCACACAGAGAGGACAAGAGAAAGATAGGTTAAGCAAAATGACGAAATAAAAAATAAAATAAAAAATCTATTCTTGAGAACTCAGAAATAAGTTAATACTAGGGGACCTTATCTTATTTGGTGGAATGAGCTAT